AGACCGACCTCAATGAGCTTGGCCTCCGATAAATAATGGTGGCATTTTAGCCCAAGCCCTGCCCATTGCCGGAGGCCCTTCGCCGTCTCCTTATCAAGCGTAACACCAACATCAGGGGCGGCCATCCCCCACCCGGTTTGAAACGGCCACTCCAATACACTTCGCACCCCGGAGTAGTCCCGCTTCCACGCCGGTATCTTGTTGGGAAGTTCGTGTAAAAGCTTAAAACCCGGGCGAGGAGACAGGTAGTACGCCCGCCTACACCCGGGAAGGGGACCCGCTTGCTTCTAAAGCATTAAAATGGAAGAGAAGATCTCCAGGTCTAAAGGCAAGCCCTGTTCGCAAAATAGGGAGATTGTCCCCACCAAGTTACGAATGGAGTTCGGGTGAAGCTGGCCGACAGTAACGCCGAAGTGGTTCATGACCTCGACAATGAGGGGGTGGAAAGGCAGGCGCAACCCCGCAGCGAGCTGCTCCCAGAATATCACGATCTCATCAGGACCGTGTTCCCAAGGAAAACTGATCGAAAGTATGAAATAGGCGTACTCCCCAGGCAAGTTGAACTGGGTAATATGGGATTGAAGCCCCTCAGGCGTCATGGTCGAGGGCCCATACTTGTCTAACGTCCGACCTCGATGAGAGGTGGATGCCAAACTACCCGTGGCGACTCGGCCTACGGGTTTGAACTCTTCCTCGAGTTCTACCTCAGGTTCAGTAGGACTATCGGGGGATGCAACTCAGTTCGTAGAACCTGCGTCCGACCCCCTTGAACTGTCTGAGCTATCCGAGCTAGACATCGGAAGGAGAAGAAGGATTCCAGGAAAGTACTCCCCTGGAAAATAGCGAATGGAGTACGGGAATGTGAACGCGAGCTAAAAGCCTTTAACACGAGCTCAAGAAGCAAAACGCAGGATAATGACAGCAGTTGGGGTCCCCCACTATTTATACCCACAGTAACCAAGAATCAACGGCTCAGATCAAAGCCAACGGCCCGCAGTCGCGCTGACCGCATGTCTCCTGAGACCGAGACGTGACTGACCACACGTCCCTCAAAACCGAAAGTGCACGTCTCCTCACATTAAAGGCGGCAATGGCGCATTTTTAAATTTGAAAAGACGCGCGCTGTCAGGTCTCCCTGCTGCGCGCTTTTTGAATTTTGAAATAAGGCGCACGCTGTCACGTCTCCCAGCGGCGTGCTTTTTGAATTTTGAAATAAGGCGCGCGTTGTCATGTCAGTTAGCATTTATAGGCAGATTGGCGCGTTTCCCGTCTTTTTGGCACTCGAGAAACCCGAAAGAATCCTGACGACGCGCACCTCGCGCTATCAGTCAACCAATTCGAAGTATGGGTTAAATCCACCAGCCACCTCGTGAACTCCCCGCGCCAGGGCAAGACCCTTAGCACGAGGAGTGGGGGGCAATTGATGAAGGAAGATTTGGCCCGACCTCGTAACCACTCAACACGTGGCAAATGCAACAGCTCAGGACAACAGCTCGCCAAGGCGCGAGCTACGAAAGGAGGAACCAGCGGTCCGAACTCTCTACAAAGAGCCCGAACTCCCCGTAAGGAGCCCGAGCTCTCCCTTAGGCCCCGAGCCTTACAAACACAAAGGGCGACGACCCAAAATGGCCTGCCCCCTGACAGTTCGGGCCACACCTCTATCCGAACTCAAGACTTAACCTCACACACCACTCCAGCACTTCGCCTCCACGACACCGAACTGAACAAACCACACCGTACCTGACACCGAAGGAGTCCGTATCCAGGGGCGGCGCACTTGACTGACTTGGGATCTGACGCTTGACAGCTGCACTCCAACGGCCACCTGCCACCGCCATCTCCAGTTACAGAGACGGCTCCGACAAAGAGTAGTGGCGGTTTGTCCCAGCAGAGGTGGATGACACCCGAACTGGCAGAAGCACAGAAGTAAGCATACCCGACCTGACAGAAGCCTAGGAGTGAGTGCACGAAGTGGTTATAAAAGGCTCTCTACCCCTCAAGAACAAGGTATGTGAACTTTGCGCCATCTGGTTTTATCTTGCCTTTGAGAGACTACTAACATGAGCTTCAGAGCAATCTCACCGGGTTCCTCCCCGGAGACTCTCCACTTTCTTCTCCGTTTCAGGCCCCCTGTTGCTCCAGTCAGAGGCAAGATCAATGACAGATAGGACCGGCCGGATTGCAGACCATCAATTATATACAATGGGAAAACAAAAACTATAACATTATTGTTAGAGGCCCCATCTCATTACTCATTTGACCATTAACATAATTTGCACCCCCCCATCCCCCTTCAGTGTTTGGTTGCATGTCAAATAAAGGAAATTGAATGATTTCCTAGCCAGTCGTAATTCTTCTGCCGTTTCAATACCGGAAAGTTATTAAAAGGAATGACAATCTTGAATTTTCCTACAGTTAAGTTATGCAGTATTTGGAAAACATTCAGTTTTTTATTTATTTATCTTTTTGGTTTTACTTTTCACATCTGTAGAACCAGATAGAAGCTAAATGATAATGGACAAACCAAGTACACTCAGTCACCACCTTAGCACGACTATAGTGAGCATCTCCTGTCATTGCTCTTAAAAAGAAAAAAGACAATGAACCAGAATCACTTTGTCAATTAAAATGCCCAATGTTTTGTCTTTTTCCCAGGTGTACAGTGCTACTCGAGTTTCTGCAACACGCCCGTTCTCCCAATTTAGAGTTGTGACACACAAGTGTTATTCAACTGTTCTTACCAACAAAAAGAAAGTGTTATTCAACTGTTTGATTTATCAGGGGATCGAAAGGCCAGAGGATATATAGCTATTATCTATTATATATATATATATTGGTGGAAAATTCAAAAGAAGGTCTGAACAATGACCAGAGGAGATTTGGCCACTTATAATGCCTTTATCCTTCCTTTGTGGCCACTGCTCTCTCTCTCTCTCTCGCTATGTAAGTAAGTTCTAGTTAAAAGCCTTATGATAAAAGAATCAGCTTTAGTTGTGTATGCAAAGGCCATCACATCTATTCTCCATTTGTAGGGTTATTATGCAACCAAACAGTCCGTAAGGGGATAAAAAAAAGATACTTGGAAAAGGGCCGACATGGTGGTCAAAGTTCAAACCTAAGAAAAAGATAATATATAAATTTATTTTTAGAGAAATTGTCTAAAACTCACTACCATGACATTTTACCAATTCTCGTAAACTCACTTAACTTTTCAAAACGTTTAAGGTAATGAGCTTTTATTTTTCAAAACTCACTCATTGGCAAAAAGTGTCCACATCAGCATAAATGCAATTTTCATGACCAAATTGCCCCCAAATTCTTAACACCTGTGATTAGCAAAGTAGTGGGCGCTCTTCTAGAAGCTCTGAACCTCTTCTTTGAACTTCGAACTATTTAATTAACATCCGTTAGACCATTTGCCGTCAACTTACTGACATGGGGCTTTCTGATGGATTTGAAAAGTTATAGCGACTTTAAGAGAAATAGTGAAAAGTTATGATGAATTTTAAATAAGTTCCCTTTATTTTTATATCATCGCCTCTCCTTAGCCCTTATAATTAATTCTGGTGGATCCCTTGAGGATGAGGAGTGAGGAGGACGACCGTCGTCTGTTGAAATTGAACGACGCAGGCCCATAATATATAATAATAATAATGGGGAGCATCATCTCAACTTTATCTTGTTTAAATTAAATTGATATATTTATTGCCGCTCAGGTCTTTTAATTTAGTCAAAGAGATTGAAGTCATTAAGGCATCAAAATCAAATGAGAATGGAGTTCTACTTGCTTCTAGACCTAAAAAGCTATGCCTTTGATAACTCACTCATATTTCGATTCTATTTGTCCTCTCATCAATCCTCTAAACCTTCCAAACTATCTAAAAAGCAGAAAAGAAGGGGAGGCCAAGGACGGTCACAACCCCACCACCAAAGAGGAAAAAATAAAAAGAAGAATAAGGAATAGACTACCAGTAAAAGTAGTGATCGCTCACCTTGCTGTCATCTCATCTCATCTCATCGATCGATCACTTGTGTTATTGAGTACTTGAGTGTGCAGTTTGGATGCCAGAGAAACAGAAGCCACACCACTCAGAGAAAAAGTTGGTCATCCTTGTCTTTCCAACTTCACCCCCTCCCCCCACCACATGCACCCACCAAAAAAAAACAGGGGATATTGAATTATTGACCCATGGATGGACCAGACAACTTGAACCATATCCAACCACACTGCACACGTTACTAACCAAACACAAAACCCTCAGTCAGCTTTGCTTCAGCAACTCTTGGAGTCCATCTCTGATGGACCATTTTCAATCGGATTCAGAACAGATGTAGGTATTTGATATTCCCCTTGAATTTTAGTATATTTTTAATGCCAACGGTTACGAAAATTCTAAAGATCAAACCCGTGTGAAAAAAAAAGTCGGGGTGGGACCCAGAGATCGACCCAATTCTCAATTGTGAGGGGAGGTCTTCAGTTCAAATTCGTTGTGTCGGCCATATACACATGTATGTGGATGCTATTTATATACAACTAATTAGAAAACTAAACACATGCATATATCATATGCATGTAGAAAAGAAATACAAATACCGGCATACCGCAAGCAGCTAGAGTGTGTATGTGTGTTATACTGCAACCATGTCTAATGTCTAGAATCAATTGTAGTTGTAGCAGCTGGGGATTAGGGTAGGGGGCTACCATGAGAGAGATCGAGGCAAAAGAGAAATGAACACGAAGAAATTAAGAGAAAAGAGATACAAACTTATTGTGAGAAACCAGAATACAGAACAAATTAAAGCTTTTTTGTTTTTTTTTTTGGGTGGGGGGGGG